ACCAGTAGAAGTGCAGCAATAAGGGCTTCAATGTGCCCCATCCAGCTGTTTTGGATGCGACACATGTCCTCCATGCACATATGAGAAAATGTTTAAGGTGAAAATCTGTTCTCTCTTACATCGGTAGCTGTTCAAAAGGTTGGACCATGAAACTAATTAAGGCATACTAATAATAATTATATGTCATGTTCAGTGTCTTGAACATGGCTCTGTGTATGATTGTTACAATAATATATAATATAAATATATAATATAAAATAAAAATAATAATATTATACCCTGGTGTTTGTAAATGTTGCTAACGTATCTCGCTACAATAAAACAATATATCTCGCTATAATAAACAATCAACGTTTAACCTAACCTTTACTGTGTCTTATTCATAGACTGTCAGCTTAATTTGCAGGCTAAAACAATTCAGGATGAAGAAGTGCAGCGAAAACAAGCTGAGGCAGGAAGGCTGTGATCAGATCCTCCCCATCGCCTGTTCATTTCTTTACAGTATTGTCACAACTGATACCTTGAGTTACATGCAAAGAGAGCAGTCAGACATTTCCTACAGTTAGACATGAAGCATTTCCTCTGAGTGATGTTCAGACTGGGAGAATGGAGGACTGGGGTCTTTACAACTTCCACATTGGACACAGTCCTAGTATAAGAATAGTATCTGTTGTTGACACATTATGCTATTGAATAGTGTAAATACAACACACACACACACTCACACAACCTACTCTAACCCCTCCCACTTCACACATACAGGACAAATGAGAAAACCAAGTTGTGCTGTCAGTACAGCCTCAAACAATGTCCTGGGTGATGAGGTTGAAATAAAGACAAAAATATATTCTCTTTAAGGCAAACAAAACATAGAAAGCAGCTTTTAAGAGTTATGTCCAGAGTGAGGGAGGGAGTCAGTTGATGTACCATCTATATTTAAGATTTCCTGCAGTGTGCAAGATACCCACCACCAATTAGACATGGACTTGAGCACCTACATTAACAGAGGGTTCCCCTTCTCATCTCACCTCATTTTTTGTTTTAACAGTGAGATAAAACGAATCATTGCTTGGAGTAAAGAAACTGAAGGCAGACCAAAGGAGGGGTTTGGAGTAAAGAGGATGAAAAGAAACATTGCATCCCGACAATACATTTTTTTTAAAAAAGGTAGTCCAATGCTGCCATGTGTGTGCATGACGTATGATAAACTATGATGAAGAAAAAGAATGAATGGTTTAAGCCAATTAAATAAGATGGAAATGAGATTTTTTTGTGGTCATCTGGAGAACCACTATATAATTCAAATTTATAAAACTGTGCAATTTGAAAATGAACAGTCCATTTCACAATAATTTTCATCATCGTTATGTCAGCAGTGGTATGCTTTAGAATACAGTGAATATCATTTGTTAACATTTTGGAAAATGTTGTATTTTCAGTCTAATTGAGTTCCTTACAGAAACAGAGTTGTGTTACAGAAGGAATATATTTATTGCAGATGAGAAGGTGGAGGGTATTCTGTCCATGAAACAAACTGAGGTAGCTTTATGTTCACTAATATATATATATATATATTATATATATATATATATATATACACACACACACACACACACACTAGTTAATGAGATTGTGGTGAAAAAACAAAGGCTACACTGGATTTTAGAACGACTGCAAATAAACATACATAAAATGCTTTGACATCCCTTTTAAAATATATAAGGCTGCATTTACACAGAGTTGGCTACAGAGAGGAAATCTGCTTTTCAACCTTCAGTCAGACTTTCTCATGATAAGTCCATGATAATTCTGTTTGTTAACAACTGTCTGGCAAACAAAGAGGTCAAGTATGTACTGTCTTTTGTTGGGTCTTTGTAAATAATATAGTATGAATTGGCGCTATATAAATAAAATTTAATTGAAAGTGAAATCTTGTATGAATGTATAAAAATAATGGCAATGCTTTCAGGGAGTGTACATTTTTTAAAGTCCAGTGTTGGCAGATAAACCTGCTGAAGACCTCTGCTGGTGCTATCTGCTGTAGTCTGCCCAGTGTGATACTGACACTTTCAGCTCTCGGCCTCCTGTCAGTTACAGCATATATATCATGCCAAAATTTATTAAGAATGAGAATGAATTTGGTTTGATGGCTTCCTAAACATCTTTATTTGGCCAAAAGAGGTGAGTATGAGCTTTTGCAGTGCTGTCTAAATGCATTCTTGTACTATGTCTAACAGTATTGTGCCATCCTGATATCTGTGCTTTTTCTGCTTAAGACATTTTTGTGTCTATATTACCCACAATGCAAATTGACCGTTTAATTGGAAACTCAGGTGTGTCATGCTAGTGTTGGCTGGTGGCTCAAGTAGCCTGCAGCCTGCAGCAGAGCTCACTGGTAACTTTCTAACTCCACACCAACACATTCTTGTTGTTTTCAAACTTGTAGTCTTCAGCCCTAATTGATGCTGACTCAAGTGACATCACATGAGGCAATTTATCAAATCTCATGTAGCTTCCAAAAGGCTGTATATAACTCATGTATCTTACTACTCCCCAAGACATGTAGACAGACTTTGACGTGTAAAAAAAAAGCCCAAAATAAAGTACAAGGCAAAACTGTAAAAAGAGCTGTGGTCAAAAAAACTGAAGCAGCCACTAGTACAGCAAAACAGTACACAAACTGATGAGAACACACACTCACACACACAGTGTGGTGGCAAGAAGGCAAAGAAATACGCCTAAAAACTGTGTATTTAAGTTATGTGACAAACGCTTCAATATGCAAAGTGTTTCATGAGTCACAACTGAAAGAATAATGAAAGCAGCTGACTTTAAACTTATAAAACCGTGACAAACTTCAAAGAACCAGACCACTGTGTTAGCAAAGTTTAGTTCTAACTACACATTATGAATATTTTAAGTTTTTGCAACCATTTTCAGATGCAAGCAGTACACTGTATTTTACCTACAGTTCCAGGCCTCCATTGATTTCCATTCATTTCCGTACGGTACGAAACAGTGGGTAATGCAGTTTAGGTGCAGATAGATTTGAAAGTCTGCGCTGCATTGCCATACAACAATAATGTAACTTTGACATCCATCAATATATAAAAATGGTATTCACTTGATTACACAGCTCAAGAGTTTTATACCGTATAGCAATTGCGGGAAATCAAAGGCCTCTTGGAACAGAAGAAAAAGCACATTCACATTTCTACAGCTAAACAGCTTGGTTTGCAAAATGATTAGCTGTGACGTAAAGTAAATGTGATATGGCTAAAACATGCAAAACCCTTGGTATGGTCCTTTAAAGTGTGTCGGACAGAAGAACACTGCAGGTCTTTTCATAAGCAAATTACATTTTTGACTTGCCATCACCAACAAAACACAATTACTATAAAAACTGACATAAGTCATTTGAACTTATATCTAATAAGCAAACCACAAACAGTAGCTGGAATATGCCAGCATTTGCTTGGACAGTCACATCCTTCTGGTTCCCTCTGTGGTCTTTTTATACTGAACAAAGTTATAGTAGTATATTTGGCTCCACATGGATCCTCTATTAAGTGCTATATATTTGTGACCAAAATAATAAAATGATCAATTTATTTAGTTTTGGACATCAACTGTAATGACCTGCAACAGAATTCAGTCTTTGCACAAAGACCAGTTCAGGTCAGAAGAGCTTGGTACACCTGGGGCTGGTTTGGTTAAGCAGGATAAAAAAAGTTCATGCACTTCTTTTCCAATTGACTTGTTTTGTGCTTTTCTCTCCTCTTGCCATCCTTAGAAAAAAACAACTTTCTTTTGTATAAATTTGTACACTATTACCATCGAAATAGCATTGCCATCACTCTATAGTCGTGAGAGAGTTTAAATTCCTGAACATGGTGGATTGACTGACATTTCATCAACAGCATATGATGATGTCATTGCCTCTGGCTTCCCAGCATTCCCTGAAGTCAAGCTGTTCGGGATGGGAATGTAGGAGATAGGGGGTAGATGGTAAAGCTCTCTTTTATTCATCTGCCGTCTCTAGCCGTGTCGTTGCACTCTGATTCGGATCACTGAGGATGTTTGAGGGTTTGGTTTTCATTCATGCAGTATGTTAAAGAGACACCGTGACAATTTGACACCGGGCTCTGTGGCGCCTGAGAGTGGCAGTGATGAACAGTTTCTGCCATCTATCCAACACTTGAAGATGACTTTGAGACCCACTGACCCTTGCTTTACCATTTAGTCAAAAATGTCTCTTGACTAACATCTTGAAACATGACAAGATATCTTGAAAACAAATGTTTAGATTAGTTTTTGTAATGACATCTGCTGTTGGTTTTAATATATCCACAGGATGATCTTACTGATGAAGTTGCACAAAATACCTTGAGGTTTAATTTCTTCTTAACTGGGAAGTTATTTAAGTGTGTTGCACAAAATTAATTTTTGTTTCTTGCATAAACTGAAGTTGTAGTTGCCTGGGGAGACAAAGAGATAATTTAAGGTAAAGCAAGCAGCTGATCGACCTAGGCCTTCTGTTTGTTACAGTTTGGATACTACCACTCCTCAAACTCCCTGCAGAAAGTAGAGTGATCTGTCTCTCTCTATCAAAACTATAGTGTTCTAAGAACGCTCTTCTCGTGATGCGTCCCTTTCCTTCATTTATGGTCATGTTGTGGTCAAGATGAGAGTCAGAGGTACCTTACATTTTTAACCATACTTTGTTGCTAAGGTCTTCTGTGTAATGGTTTAACTAACTTTATGGGATTTGTTAAGTATTAGAGATGGAGAAAACCTCACTTAAGGAAAGCTTAAAGACAAGACTTAAGGGTGTTTTGTGCATTTTTTTTATGTTAAGGAAACCAAATAGGACTTTAAGGAAAATCTTAACTTAAGGTCTTTTGTGCAACCGGCCCCTGATCTTTCCTCCCACGCCACCATCAGGGCAAACCTTCATTAGCACCACTGCAGGAAGGCTCTAAGAATAACCAAATTGTCAGTATGTTGCTTATGATTTTAAACACCTCATGACATGACATTTTCTTGTTTCATCATTAGGTACTGCCTTAACCTTGATCCAGGACATCCATACCACAATGCTTACCCCCCTGTTCATCAACGTTATGAACATTAAGGGCAGAATGTTAAAAATACGAACACATCAGATGACAGGCAATCTTGACTTGCTCACTCACCTAAAAATGCCAGACCATATGTGGTATGATGGTCCCGCATCAAGCTTTTATAAAGGTACTATTAACCAAAAGTGACTTTGTTAGCATCTCTCATTCAAGCCAGTGGACAGTACCAGCACTATGCTAACTTATGTGACATGGTGTTACAATGTTAATAGCTTTTCCTGGGTTAGCTGGAGGTCAAAAATAGGAACACTTCCACCAGAAAGTGACATGTGTTTATCAAAGAACAAGCAGACTTAAAGTCAGAAAGTCAAGGTGTACCTTCACTGACTGATGACAGCACCCAACCACATGTCCTCCTGAGCTGTTTCTCTTGTTTCACCACCACACACACACACACACACACACACACATACACCTGTTGCCAACACATACATACTAAAACACAAAACACAGAACTACAGTGACTTCAGTACCCTCTACATCATCTCTAAAGTAAAAAATGCTGCATGTTGTGTCAGAGTACTGTACATCCTGGTGGTTGGTTTAGTTTGGCTGAGATAGCTGCTTGTCTGCAATTTCCCTTTTTCTACATCCTCGATTAATTTCCATTTCCTGTGTCCTCCTCTCCTGTCATCTCCTTTTCATTGCTGTCTGAGGCTTTGTGCATTTCTTCTGCTCTCCCCTCCACATTCTCTTTCACAGACAAGCAAATATCAGTATCATTGCACAGACAGGTTTATGAGGCTGGACTGCAAATAGTTGAGTTGAGCTGCCAGGAAGATTTTGTTCTTGGCATTGTGTGAGTTTGACTTATTACCATGTGAGAGAAAGACAGTGAGCTTGCGTCTGTCCAGTGTTCACCTCTTCTATCTCGCTCCCTATCCTTCCTTCCAGCCAGGTTTGGTTAATTGTATCCAAACACAACACAATGACTGAGTATAGATGCTACTTTGACCACTGTCTTCATGTAGTTCACTTTCCATCTGACCTTCTTTCAGAGTAGACCTGAATCCAAGAGGAAAGACCTGTCTAGGCCAGAGAAAGACTTCACCATCGCTAAGGTGTTCCAACTCCTCAGAAGCTAGAAGACGTTTCCAAGGAACCTTTTTGGCACTAAGAGAATAGGAGTGACGAGTGGTATCATGTACATATTTATGGAAGTACCCACCCAGTTGTGGCTGCTATGGGATTAATTTGTCAGAACTTCCAAACAATAAGACACCAACACATTAAGACATATAAACAGTTTAAAGTTTGAAGTGATGGATAATTTTCTTTCAAAAATTAGAAGGATTTCTGTGAAATTCAGGTGTCATTTAGGTTAAAGTGGAATATCTGATAACTTGTCTGGATGTACATGCTTATTTTATCCTTAACGTTTCCAACCTTAACCAAACAGTGCATCAGTGTCTAGTAGGATCTGGGCAGAGTGTCCAAGCATTCTTTTGATTCGCATTTAGTTCATACCAGACAGGATTTGCCTAATAAGTGGAAGTAAAAATAACTGCAACAACCCTGCAAAGACCCCAAACACTTCCAGCGACATCAACTGCACTTGCCAAGATGTTCCTCCCATTACTGCCAATGGCTGAATGCTCCTGGGTGGGCGCTGATGCCGAGGAACAGAAAAAAAGGGGGAGTGAGGGATTAAAAATGAGACTGTTGGTAGTAACAAATACTTATTGCCACAGTCCTTGTTGCTGTTCATGTGATAGCAGGATAATCATCTGATGACCGCACCCCTGTATGGGTTCTTAGAGCAGGTGGAACTATAACGTGGTCTCATATTCCAACCTCTCCTGCACCAGAGCATCATCTTTGTACTGCAGCCGTGGAGGAGTCAGGGAGCAATCTATGGCCAGGATTGCCTTGCGTATACTACGGTCGAGGACATGGCGCTCCCAGGCTGGGTAGCGGTTCCTGCAGAGGTCGATCTTGATGACTGTCTCTTCCAGGCGTGGGGCACGAGACGATGGTGTAGATGGCACTGTGGGTCGGACCTGAAACACCGGCATGCAACCATCCCGCTCAGAATACTTCCCCACGTCACGCTCCAGGGTTGTGGCGCCACCTCGGTTGGAGCGCAGTGAGTTGGTGGCACCTTCAGATGGTAGTGTGGAGAACTGAGCAGTGGGGTCTAGGTCCAGACCCTGGCCGCTCGGCGATCGTCCAAAGCGTGGCCCGTTGGGATGGAAAAAGGCATAGTACATGAGCATGAAAACCACGCCAGTGAGGAAACTGCTGAAGATGACGCAGAGTGCTGGAACTGCAAAGGCGTCAGTGGTATGAGGCGACCGGTAGAGATACCACAACGCACTGAGTGCAGCATTCTCCACCAGGATCACCAGGTAATAGATGAAAAGCCGACACCTGAACAAAGACATGTGACATGATAAGAAGAAATTAATCAGACAGAGTGAAACCAAATCAGAAAAACATAAAGCAGTGCTCTCCAGTGTAAATAGTGTAAATAGAAGTGCTCATATTGTATTTTGACAGTGATCTATAAGGATGGCGAAAATGGATGTCAGTCTGTCCCTCAAACAGACAGACTGTCCATTTTCGGACCAAAAAATCCATCAATTCCACTAAATATTAATAATATATTGTAAGTGTTAAACACTGAGCAGTGTATTTCAGGGCACTTTTCATTTTAAAAACTCCTTTCTGACATTCTGTGAAAATGTCAAAGTTGTGCACAAGATATAGAAAATACTGTGTTACCATGCATTTTGCTGTGGATGTTGATGGTCCCCAGAGGATAAATCCCTCTGATTGTGGTGAACCCACAACTTAGGCCAACAGATGAAAAACGTCTTTGAATTTGGTCACAGGCTGTCCTACACGGTCATTCTGAGGTCAGGAGTTCTAACAGCAAGGCTGTAAGAATCTAAAATTTTCAATGTGTTGTTTAGCCTGTCCAATACTTTTTCACTAAGTAGTTGCAAGTGAGGGTTCAAAGCTGCACTAATCAATGCCAGTAGGTGAAATTATTATGTTTTCTATCAAAGACGTCACTCCAGGCCAGTATCCTTATCAATTATGTCAGTTTAGACAATACCACAGGTCAAAATGCAGGAAGTGCTGTGCCCTTTATGTGGTACTAAGACACCTGTGGCAGTCTGGGTGGTGCATGGACATGTAGCAAGTCAGAATTCCATGCAGAAGACCAAAGTTTGAGTCCTGTCACAGACCTGCAATTAACATTACCCTTTTTTTATTAACTGCAACCGTGATCTTTCTCTGAATATAACCTTACCGTAGTTGCCATGCACGCCTGTTTTCTCCATTGCTTGCATCAGCCACTATTCTCGTCGGATTCAGCCCTGTGTGCGCTCTCGAGCCTCTCTCAGACTACAGCGACAACACGGCAGCTAACAACATGCAGCCCACTAACACCATAAAACAACCGGCTCACAGCAAAACACAGGCTCCACGTAAGGATACAAAACAACAATAAAGGTTTATGTGCTGAAGCCCATCAGACCAAACAGGTTCAGATGATGTCGAGTAAGAACAAAGTGAGCATTAGCAAAGCTGGAGAAACAGAGAAAGTCACGTTAGCTCCTCGGCTAACGCCAAGCTGTTGCTAATGTTATCTGGTGCAAAGTTATATCGCTTTCCACATTACTTCACCAACTGACCCATGTTACTATCCTGTGTACCACTGTTGATTTAGCCTGAAAGAAAGGATGTAATGGCAAAAAGCAAATGTGGAGAGATTTGTTGACGTTAACCTATAGTGATACAGCCAGCTAACGCTACAGTACCTGCCGCTGTTGGCTTCGTAACGTTCAGTTTAGGTTTATTGGTGGTTTTACCAATACTCAGGTATACAACTTCTCCACCTCTCAGTTGCTGTAACTAACATGACCCACATAATATACAATACTGCAACTTCACAGCGACAACAACCCAGAGGAAGAACCATCCACTGGCACTATACAGTAAAGTTACTTACAGCAGTCAGGTGACAGACTCACAGATAGTGAAGATAGTTACTGAAAGCAGCAGGCGATCTAACGCTGTAGCACGTCAGCTAAATGCAGTAAATGTACCATGATCATGTAATGAGCATGGATTAGTTCAACCTGCAGCTGATAAAACAATTACTATAATGTTGCAGGAGGGGTTTACCTGAGTTTCCAGTATATTGGGTGAAGCTGTCTCCCTGTCTGTCTATAGCCGCTGTCACTCTGCCTTTTTTCCGGGAGGATTGTGCCGATATGCGGCTCGTTGCGCTGAATGAAAGGTACGGAGTCGGTGTTGATCTGCCTCTGAGTCGGGAACATCAAGTAACAGAGCCTGAACATGTCTGAGTGAAAAGCCACAGCCTGCGTGCTGGTGTTCCTGCGTTTAATGCAGGATTTCTGTATGAAAGCGGTTGTGTTTCAGATTATGCTCGCTCATGAGTTCAAGAGAGCACACGTACGAGCACACACCTGGTTGCAATCTTAGAACCACACCGCTAGTGGCCGCTGGAAACTCCATTATGCCCCTTTAAGGTGATAACATGTCAATGTTATTTTACAGCTTGTTCCACTGCTCCCAAACAGGCAGAAAAAAATCCATTAATGGAGCTTCAGACTGTCTTGTTCTTTACTGCACCCTGTTTGTTGCAACGCCCCAGTAACCCTGTACTGCCCAGTACAAACGTTTCAATACCTGACTCATATTGTGATATTTCAGAGCTGCTTTGACAGCCAAGTAGTGGTAGTGCTTTATTGGGTTGATTTACTAAAAAAGGTTACTTCAAAACTACAAATGATCCTGGTTTTAATCCCCAAATTCCTTCTCAGCTCATTGTAGATCCATTTTTTTTGATGTGCCAAACAGTTGACAGCTGACTGAACTTCATGCAACCAGCTGACTTTAAAATTAAATAAATACTGAATAATAAAGACACTCAACTAGATTGAAAAATTTCTGAAAAGGATTTTTTCTTCAGGTCTAAAATCACACTGAATGGAGCTCAGAGTCCTCACCTTGTCCGACCCTCCTTGACGTTGAACCAGGAAAAGATATAGATTATGCCCACCACCATGTCAAACACAATTTCCTCCCACTTGCTGATGCAGAAGTCTGTCTCACAGTGGACAATCCAGAAGGTCATGATGCACCAGTGCAGGACAATGAAGATGCCAAAGTAGAGTTGGAACACAGAGGCAAACAGGGCAAAGGTGATGACCCTTGCGGCGATAGTGAAGAAATGCCAGCAGAACTGGATGATCACAGCCAGGTAGCTGATCGGCTTCTTGTCATCCCGAGACTCTCGCAGGGCCTTCTGGTAGGAAGCCAGCGCCCAGGCCAGAGACACAAGGGAGGCTGCCGCTGTCATACCTGCAACAGACACACAAAGACACAATGGGTTTGATTTCAGTGCCACATCAAGGCGACCATCACAGAAACACTTTTGGAAAATTTTTTGCTGTGAGACCCACAGTCAGATGAGATTATGAATATTGGTTTCATCTCTGTGAGTCTTTTACACAGAATATGTTTGTCTTAGCTTAGCACAAACTCTAAAAGCAAGGGGAAATGTTTGCTTAGATTTCCAAGGAAGATTAAAATCAAGGGCAACTGGACTGGTTTGAAGATACTCAAAGACATTCGCCTCCCATTTAAGAGGATAATTCAGCTCTGACAGACTGGCAGGGAAACCCAGCAATTTAACCTCTGAGTCTGTCTGTAAGGATTCACGGGAGCACTAATGAACCAAGCGATACTTATCACCTTGATAATGACCCCACAGAGGTTGAATGGCCAGTCAGTCAGAATTGAATAAGCCCCTCGTATGAGAAGCAAAGTATCTTCAGTTCAGTCCAGTTCATTTTAACCTTCCTTGGATAACTATGAACTGGATGACTGAGGATCTTCACAGACATGTATTAGCCTAGAACAGTGCTGAACAAACACAGGGGAATACAATGTGAATTTAGTGGCTTAGTAGTAGAAGTATGGAGTATAGAAAGAGTGTGTGTGTGTTACCTTGTACAGCCTGGAGCTTGTGTGTCTGTATGATGATGCACAGCTGCAGCACCAGTTGTGGCGCGCTCTCCAGAAAGGTGGCCAATAGATGCAGCATGCTCACATCTGCAAACTCATAGACCATCCTCCAGTAGTAACGCCAGCGGTCTGTCTCAGCACTCTGACGACTCCGAACGCCCAGGTAGATTGTATGGAAATACCTGGAGGAATCGGAAAAAGAAAAATCATGCGTCAACATCAACAAGTTAGACTGCAGTGTTAATATTTGTGAGTATGTACAAAAAAAATCATTGAATTTTATCCATCAATTGCAGTTAAAAAAAAAAAAATGAATAGTACATTTTAAATCATCACAGTATACCAAAAGATATATATCTCTTTAAAAGCTTTCTACTTGTATCAATATACAGGTGCTGGTCATATAATTAGAATATCATCAAAAAGTTGATTTATTTCAGTAATTCCATTCAAAAAGTGAAACTTGGATATTATATTAATTTATTACACACAGACAGATATATTTCAAATGTTTATTTCATTTAATTGTGATGATTAAAACTGACAACTAATGAAAATCCCAAATTCAGTATCTCCGAAAATTAGAATATTACTGAAGACCAATACAAAAAAAAGATTTTTAGAAATGTTGGCCAACTGAAAAGTATGAACATGAAAAGTATGAGCATGTACAGCACTCAATACTTAGTTGGGGCTCCTTTTGCCTGAATTACTGCAGCAATGCGGCGTGGCATGGAGTCGATCAGTCTGTGGCACTGCTCAGGTGTTATGAGAGCCCAGGTTGCTCTGATAGTGGCCTTCAGGTCTTCTGCATTGTTGGGTCTGGTGTATCACATCTTCCTCTTCACAATACCCCATAGATTTTCTATAGGGTGAAGGTCAGGCCAGTTTGCTGGCCAATTAAGAACAGGGATACCATGGTCCTTAAACCAGGTACTGGTAGCTTTGGCACTGTGTGCAGGTGCCAAGTCCTGTTGGAAAATTAAATCTGCATCTCCTTAAAATTGATCAGCAGCAGGAAGCATGAAGTACTCTAAAACTTCCTGGTAGACGGCTGCGTTGACCTTGGACCTCAGAAAACACAGTGGACCAACACCAGTAGACATGGCACCCAAAACATCACTGACTGTGGAAACTTTACACTGGACTTCAAGCAATGTGGATTCTGTGCCTCTCCTCTCTTCCTCCAGACTCTGGGACCTTGATTTCCAAAGGAAATGCAAAATTTACTTTCATCAGAGAACATATCTTTGGACCACTCAGCAGCAGTCCAGTCCTTTTTGTCTTTAGCCCAGGCGAGACGCTTCTGACGCTGTCTTGTTCAAGAGTGGCTTGACACAAGGAATGCGACAGCTGAAACCCGTGTCTGCATACGTCTGTGCGTGGTGGTTCTTGAAGCACTGACTCCAGCTGCAGTCCACTCTTTGTGAATCTCCCCCACATTTTTGAATGGGTTTTGTTTCACAATCCTCTCCAGGGTGTGGTTATCCCTATTGCTTGTACACTTTTTTCTACCACATCTTTTCCTTCCCTTCGCCTCTCTATTAATGTGCTTGGACACAGAGCTTGTGAACAGCCAGCCTCTTTAGCAATGACCTTTTGTGTCTCGCCCTCCTTGTGCAAGGTGTCAATGGTCGTCTTTTGGACAGCTGTCAAGTCAGCAGTCTTCCCCATGATTGTGTAGCCTACAGAACTAGACTGAGAGACCATTTAAAGGCCTTTGCAGGTGTTTTGAGTTAATTAGCTGATTAGAGTGTGGCACCAGGTGTCTTCAATATTGAACCTTTTCACAATATTCTAATATTCTGAGATACTGATTTTGGGGTTTTCATTAGTTGTCAGTTATAATCATCAAAATTAAAAGGAATGAACACTTGAAATATATCAGTCTGTGTGGAATGAATGTATACATTAAATGAGTTTCACTTTTTGAATGGAATTACTGGAATAAATCAACTTTTTGATGATATTCTAATTATATGACCAGCACCTGTATAGCCTAAAACACTACTGTTGCAGAGGTGCACTGGGGGTTGTGAGCAGCCAGGCTGGACAAAGAAAGATCTTGATAGTGATACAGGCCCATTCAGGACCATTGACCAATTTTGAGATGAAACCCAAAATTCCCCATCCACTAGTGGAAAAACGGCATACTAAATCAGATTGTCCCATAGTGCCCTTTATCCAAACCAAAATCTTTTCCTATTGATGCAAAATAATGATTATGGACACCATGGTGGGTGAAAAAGGCATATATATTTAAAGCAAATAGCCTAATGCTTTTGTACAATTAACAGCATACACTGTATAGAGTATCACAATGCAGACAACACGTTTCAGCAAGTTCAGCAGCACATGGACCCACACACTTTGTATCTTAAAAGAGAGGACCTGCACTGATTTTGCACATCTTAAAGTAGGTGTGAAAATGCACATCTAGTGGCCGTTCACATACACTGGGCATGCACGTGCCAGTGTAAACGTGAAGCAGATGGTCTATTCCGTAGTTACAGAAGATTTGGCGAAAGAATAAAGTACTACAGACAAAGAACCACACCGGATTTGCATGGACCAAGAACGAGCTGGGACTGTTAATGAATGTAACACGGGAGTTAAAAGCGTCTGGGAGTCGTTGCAAAGTAAATACGGCGACATACACAGTACAAGTGTAGGTTTTAAGTGTTATTTGCACGGTACAAAATATTTAAATAAAAATACCAAGTCAAAAACTTGTAGCATCATGTTTCTACTTTAATAAGAGTTAAAAGACCCAATCAGAAAGCCAAACGTGACCGTCTGTGTCATCGTTTCTAAAGTTCTGTTTTTGCCTGTCTTCTCTAAAACACTCTCCAGAGTTTCAAAACGAAAGACGGGGTTGTCAGCGTTTTCTAACTTCTCTGTTTTCTCCCTTTTGTGCAGACATAGCAAGAGGCCTCTGTTTTAAAACGAAAACGCAGTAGTGTGGATGGGGACACAATTTTTGTTAAACACAGTATAGCTTAGCTTTAGTTGGGGCACTCTTGTGGCCTAGGGGTTAACATACCGACCATGAACTGCAATGGTCCTGGTTGAGGCCAGAGATCTTGTTGCATGTCATTCCCTTTGTCTCTCTCCCCTCATTTCTTGTCTTTGCAGTTTTACAGTCCTCTCTGGTTTCACCTCTAACCTGACTCTATTTTGGTGTGGTCAGAAGTGTGCTCTGTTGCACCTGTAACCCCACCCCAAATGAAGTCACAGTGTACTGACACACCCTGGATAACACATACGCTGCATCACTGTAGCAAGATGAGAAATTAAACCACTGGCAGACGGCAAAAACAAGATTATCAGCTGCATTTAAGTTACTCTAACTTAACTCAACTCCACCTAATGTAACATAACCTTACCCATTTTAAGTTAAGTAACAGCTGGAGGAAACAGTGAAAGCAGACTTCAGACTGAGTGCGCACAAAAAAAGAACACTCATCAAACTTGTACAGTGCTTACAAATTTCTAAAATCCTGATTTGCAGATGGAGCATGGCTTGAATTTGCTTGAATTTATTTTAATTAGCTTTAATTTGTAACACTTCTGTCTATAATAAACTTTTAGAGCTGGTGAATATCAACTTTTTTTGTGGAGACACAGAAATAGATTCTCTGCTATATAGTTTAAATAATCTGTCTGTGAAGGTTCTCCGTCATCCAGGTCATAGTTATCCAAAGAAGGTTGAAATCAAGGGTTGAACATACATGAAGATGTTTCGCCTCTCATCCAAGAGGCTTCTTCAGATCTGAGTTTGAATAATAGTTTCGGCATGCAATTTCATTAGAAAATACTGGATTGCAACATGAAAATCACACACACTGCAGCTCCTGGCAATCCAACTCCAACTGTACTTCTCCAGACCTGAGGCAAGAGCTCATTTAATGAAGTGAATTCATTATTACTTTTTGGTCTGTCTGTGGCCTACATTTTTGTGTGACTCTCTCTGTCAGTCTCCCTCATTCATTTCCATTCTCTGTCTCTTTCTATCTCTGAAATATCACCAACACACGGCAGCCATTTAGCAGCGCGCTAATGGGCCGTGAAATGAAGCTCCATTGTCAATAAAGAAGTTGAAAATTAAATCTGGGCTGAGGGCATTAAAGTTGCAGCATGTCCATGGACAGATGGACCTGAGACATTTCTCACTGTGTGTGTGTGTTGGTGCTGGTCTTTGTAAGTCTACAGATACAGATTAGACTTGTTAACCTGTCACTCAGGCTACATTTACACTGTAACTGAAGGTGTCCCAGTTCTGCCGGCTTCACTCACATCTACTGAGAAGGAAAGCCAGGTCATTCAGTCTCATGTTCAGCCTTCAAGTGAGGCCAGCATTGCCCTTTAAATGCTACTTTTTGTGTACAGTACATATTCCCCCCAACACAACTGATAGAATGATCCATTTTATCAAGCAAGTTTTAGTAATTCTATCTTTGATATCACATGATTTCAGACCTGATTTTTAGCTACATGGTAAAACTTTTATGGCATTGGACCATTTGTCCCTTATGCCACTAGAGCACTGCACTAGAGTCTCCAAAAGTAGAATGGGAGCCAGAGCCTTCAGCTATCAAGCTCTTCTCTTGTGGAACCAGGTTGGGTTTGGGAGCCAGACACCATATACACATTTGAGAGTAGGCTTAGGACTTTCCTCTTTGATAAAGCTTATAGTTAGGAGCCCTTAACCATCCTTGATGTTGCTATAGACCTATGCTGCTGGGAGACCTCCAATGATGCTGTGAAGGCCCTCTTCGGTCTGTTGAAAAAGGTTTTTGGTCTCCTTGGTGTTTTGTTCTGAAAGCCTATCTTTTTGGAGGTGCTGTCCTTCTAGAAACTGATTTAGCCTGTAATGTAGTGAGAGAGAGACCGTCAGTGTCATCCTGTAGTCTTCTTGGAATAGTTCCCAGTGCATGACATGAACACACTCCTGTTGGGTCTCCTCAGAGTCCTTGTGCTTGCTATCTGTTGTATCACCAATGGCTTGTAGACGTATCAGGTTGTGTTGTGAGTGGGGGGATGAAAGAAGTATCTCACATTGAGATACTTCTACTTTTGTAAAGCGAATGGGGAGGGGGGGGGCAGAGGGCGTGGCTGCCCAAGGCCCATGGTTCTCTCCAGTGACAACTTTGGACACAATCTGCCTGACTAAACATGCATT